TCAATTTACGTGGCTTGGCTTGGTATAGAACATTAGAACATGACATTTAATTAACATTTCTACCATTGATGTTGTTGATGATGATGTTCTTAGTGATGATGATGATGTTTTTTGTGATGATGATGATGATGTCGTTGTTATTATTCATATTATTATTTTGTCTGCTAAAGCTGCTGAATCAACTAAACCATATTTACGATTTGTAATGTTTCTTCTTTAACAAAAAACGGTGATAAGAATCGAGACAGACAGGTAAACAGACAGACAGGTAACCAGACAGACAGATAACCAGACAGACAGACACGGATACAGACAAATAAACAACAAACGAACACTAAAGCAGACAAACAGATAGATAACAAAATAAACACACGAAAAGACGAACGAAAACAAACAAGCCAACAGAACATACTATCAAGAAGACACATACACACACACACACAAGACACATATACACACACACCACACACACACACATACTTACACTAACACACACATACATACGCACGCACGCACAAAAGCACATTGTTACAATGTAAAATATCTGAGTGAGCTGACGATAGGTGAATAAATTGAAAGAAAGTGTAGCCATTTTTAAATTTACTCGCATGTTCACTCGTTCATTCATTCATTCGTTCATTCATTCGTTCGTTCATTTATTCATTCATTCATTCATTCGTTCGTTCGTTCTTATTCGCAGAAAGAGGAAAATGATGTAGAGTAGACAGACAAAAGGATAATAACAACAAAAACAACAACAACAATAATAACAATAGTAATAATAACAACAACAATAACAATAATTGTTATAATAATAATTATTATTATTATAACATCATGAGGATTCTCAAACAATTCAGGTTAATTGAAGACACTTAAGCAAACTTAATTAGCTCACAAGAAAAAAAGAAATAAATATAGATGAATGAATGAATGAACGAACGAATGAACGAAAGAGCAAATGAATGAATGAGTTAATCAATCTACTAAAAAGTAAATAAATAGATATAGATGATGAGAAAAACACAACAACAACAACAACAGCAGCAACAACAACAACAACAATGGTAATAATAATGATAATGATAATAATAATAACTGACCATCATATTCAGAGAGGCTGAGTCTTGTTGTGGTGGTTAGCAGACGAGAAATTGCCGACCTGTCGCCAAGGCTTGAATCTTTCTTATGCTTATTATTGTTGTTGTTGCTGTTGTTGCTGTTGTTGTGTCTGTTGACGAACGGGTTTAGCTTGCTGTTATGGCGTTAAAATGTTGATGATGAAAATGATGATGATGATGACGATGATGATGATGACGACGATGTTTTATTTTGAATAATGTGGACTTACTACATGTATAAATAGATAGAAGTAACTACATACACACACAAACATTCACGCACACACACACGCATACACGCACACACACAGGCACATAACATTCACAGGTTGATTGACTGACGGATAGATTGATTGATCGACATAACTAATGAAGGAATAATGGTTGAATCGTTGAATTGAACGGATGAATGACGAACGAACGAATGAATGAATGAATGAATGAATGAATAAATGAATGAATGTGAATGAATGAATGAATGAATGAATGAATGAATGAATGAATGAATGAATGAATGAATGAATGAATGAATGAAAGAAAAAGTGAATAAATGAATGATAAGTCTTAGAAAAAGTATAATAATTTAAGAACGATACCCAAAAAATTATGACATAACAAATGGAAAAATGACGAGTGAGTGCTTGAAAAAATGAAAAAATGGGAGACAAAAGAATAAAAAAAGAATGAAGACAATCACAGAAAAAAAAAGAGTAAAAGAGAGAGAGAGAAAGAGAGAGAGACAGAGTAAGAAAGAGAGAGAGGCAGAGAGAGAGAGATGGGGGTGGAAAGAGAGAGAGTTTGAAGGATAACAAGACAAAAAAATTAAAACAAAAATAATGAAGTAAATACAAAGAGCAAGAGAAAGGGAGAAAGAGAAATACGTAATTGAAGAGAAAAAGAAAGAAAGTAAGAGAAAGAGAGAGAGAGAGAAAGAGAGAGAGAGAGAGAGAGAGAGAAGAGAGAGAGAGTGAATTGTGCGTCACGCACAGTCAAAATTTTTTCAAAGAAACTTCATCTCTCTCTCTCTCTCTCTCTCTCTCTCTTTCTGAAAACAACAACATTATCATAAAAACTTAAGCCAGAATAATAATAATAACAATAATTACAATAATTACAAATAAAATTAATATTAAACAACAAACACAGTGTGTATGATAGAACTACAAATAAAAACAACAATAGTAGTAGTAGTAGTAGCAGCAGCAGACAGTCGTAACTATATAATTATGTCATTATTAACCACAGGTGCGGCCTTCATGGCAAAATATTTGGAGGACGTTTTAGAGAAAATAGAAGAGTAGATGAATGAATGAATGAATGGATGGATGGATGAATGAATGGATGGATGGATGAATGAATGAATGAATGAATGGATGGATGGATGGTTGGATGGATGAATGAATGGATGAATGAATTAATTGATTAACTAATTAATGGATAGATGAACGAATGGATGAATGAATGAGCAACCGAAAGAATGAAAAAATAAGTGAGTGAATGATTGAATCAACGAATGAATAAATACGTTTATATATATATATATATATATATATATATATATATATATACATAAATAAATATATATATATATATATTTAAATCACGATTAATGAGTTTAATTAAAGATTAATTAAAGAGATTTCAACATATAATTTGGCAATTAAATAATGAAATGCATTTGTGTAGCGCCGAATTAATAGTATCTCTCAATCGAATGTTTCCAATTAATTAATATATTTGTTTGAAATGAAAAAAACGACACGACAAAATCAAATAATAATAATATTATAATTCTTATTACACTTTGCAGAATAATTATGACTAAAATTATTATTATTATTTATTATTATTACTGTTGTTGTTGTTGTTGTTGTTATTAATGTAGTATGTTATTGTATTATTATTCATCTTTCATGTTATGCTATGCCATGTTATACCTCTCCAGTTAGTCAGTACATTTTTGTTCTATGTACGTGTGTGTATGTGTGTGTGTGTGTGAATGTATGTGTATGTATGTGTTGTGTGTATGTGTGTGTACGTATGTGTTTTTTACGTGAATTTGCTATGATATCTTATCTATCGCTACATTTGCGGCCTAAAAATAAGCAGAAAACTATAAGTACTACTGTCACTACTACTACTACTACTACTAATAATAATAATAATAACAACAACAATAATAATAACAATAATAATAAGGTTAGCTGCATAGTTTTCTTATCTATTCGCATTCTACGTTCTATCTCTCTCTCTTAAAATAAGGACTATGTAGCATTTATTATTATTATTATTATTACTATTATTATTATTATTATTAGTAGTAGTAGTAGTAGTAGTAGTAACAGTAGTAGTAGTTGCGGTAGCAACAAAAGCAGCAGAGACATTTGAAAATATAACTAACAGTACTTTTTAACATTATAATAATATTATTATTGTAATTACTATGATAATACATTATTATTATTATTATTATTATTATTATTATCATTATCATTATTATTATTATTAATTATAACAATGACACCAACAACCGACCTCATTATCGAGTGCCCATTGTCGCCCTTGTTTGAAAAGAACGAGCACTTCTTGGAAGATGATTTCAGGCTGACTGTGTCGAGCCTGTCGTCCTCTATATTTGCAGACTTTCTATTAAAAAACCGCGAAGAAATTGGCGGCAAATCCGAATAACTACTACTATTACCACGGCCACCATCTTTGTTTATTATGACATCCTTGTTAGGCTGGCCGTCTTTGTTTATTTTATCCGAAGATTTCCGAATGTGCATGAAATTTTTTATTGACTTTCTTAATGGACCCGTTATGCTGTTTAAACTCGTAGTCGAGTCGTATCGAGTCATACCATCGCCGGTCGAGCTGATCGAGCTTTTTGACGTTTTTGGCTGTAGGTGGTTAGCTGTGGCTGCGATTTTGTGGTAGTCGTCGGCGATTTCGTCGTCCGAATCGTCTTCGACGATGACGCTCGACTGTGATGAGGTTGATGATTTTCTTACACTTCTGAATAGTTTCGCGAGTTTGTTGCCACTGCTGTTGTTTTTTGAGTTTGTTGTTGTTGTCGGCTCGCGTGAATTTTCTTCCGCCATTGTTCTGTTTCGTTTATTTGTTTATTTTGTTTAATTTATTTGGTTTATTTATTCGGTTATATCCATTCGTATATGTTTGTGTTTTGTTGATGTTTGTCGTTGATGCTGACGACGACGATGATGTTAATCTTAATGTTGTTGTTGCAGTTGTTGTTGTTGTTGCAGTTGTTGTTGTTGTTGCACTAATGAAAAGCAAAACAATCCCAAACTAAGAAAAAGATTTATCCCATCAAATTGAAATCCCAAAAAAGTGAGATATCACATCAACTAACATCATACTGTCTCTGTATGTATATATAATACAACTATGTGAAATCTATCTTTTTAAAATATAATTAATAGGTAATAATTTTGATTAAAATCAACCGGAATTAATTTAAAAACTAAATTAATTAGTTAGCTAATTAGGTTTAAATTGAATTAATAGCTGAATTAAGGGAAAATTTAGAATTCTATTGTACAAAATTACAAGCTAACAATGTTAATACTATGTTCAATTCAAACATAGTAAATACATGCATATATACAAATATATAGCACATACATAAATCTTACTTAACCAAAAATTATTTGTTTTCAATATACACCATACCGAATTTAAAAACAAACATGCATACATGCATGCATGCACACATGCATACATACATGTTTGTATGTATATGCGTAAATACCAACCAACATATATACAAACAAACATACATACATTGTTTCATTATACATACATGATGTATTAAGCTTAATACAATTATAAAATTATATAGTAATATGCCTTAGATAATACCTCTACATACCAATTGTATATATGCACTGTAGAAAGAGATAAAGAAGAGAGAGAGAGAAAGAGAGAGAGAGAGAGTGAGAGAGAGAAATATAACATAAAATATTCTCATAGGACATGTATGAAGCATTTATTTACATGTAAATACATGTCAAATAGATATTTTTGTAACATTTCTGATGTAATTAATTAACTCTCCGCTAGTTATATTTGAGTGAGAAAATATCGTTATGCAAAACACACATACACACACAGACGCATACACGCACACACATACACGCACACACACACACACACGCACAGATACACACACCCAGAGACGAACTAAGACATGTATGTAGATGTACTAAAAAACAGATTGAAATAGAATGAAAAAAGAGAGAAAGAGAGAGAAAGAGAAAAAGAGAGAGAGAAAGAGAAAAGAGAAAGAGAAAATTAGAAAGTGTGCGTACTGTAAAAAAAAGTTCCTTTTAGAGTAGTAATTGTTTGTTAAGAATGAATAATCATATTTCTAGGAGATGGTCCATTTATTATTATTATTATCTTTGTTATTATTATTATTATTATCATTACTATTACTTGGAAGATTATAATGATGATGATGATGACGACGACGATGACGTCAAAAGGATGCTTATGACGGTGATGATGAAATGATAAGGAACAACGGTGTTTGTAAGCACACACTCCATACACACACACACAAACACAAACACACACACAAACAAACACACACACCCAAAATGTCTTAACTACTTGATAATAACCTTACACATTACATTGGATTAATCACCAACAGCGTTCAGGGCGATCTATCAATAGCATATTTTGTAGTAACGACTCTCAAATATGAATGAAAATTTAAAACAAACACGGCAAACAAACACAAAAATACACACAAACAAACATACAAACACACATTCTTGTATTACATACAAACAAACAAACATAGAAACACACATACTTACAAAATTTAGCAACGTATTCAAATTCGTCTTCTAATAAAAGAATTTATATATCGCCACATATCACCATTGACGTATTTACCGATAATTTATAAAGCGCTATACGAGTTTTTTCACAGCCGTATGACGACATGAAAAGAGCATTTATATAGCGCCAATTATTCAGTTAATAATAGCTCAAGATCGATAACAAACTAGCTTATAGTTTACAAGGTGTTAATTGCTATATAGGCAAAGGATCACTTCTATTCAATTACGATACTCTCTCTCTCTCTCTCTGTCTCTCTCTCTTACTTTCTTCTCCCTCTATCTCCTTTTTAACTTAACTTTCTCTCTCAACATCTTTTTCTCTCCGATTAATTCCTTCTTCGTTTCTCTCTCTCTCTTTCTCTCTCTTTAAAAGATGATCACACATCGACAGTTAAAACTTTCATTGATTTGTTACTGTTATTATTATTATTATTATTGCTAAAAATTATTCTTTTAAGATTATTTTAAGTTGTGGCTGAACGATGAGAAAAAATTCTTCTACCTTTAAAAACGTTTATTAAATCCATAATAACTGAAAACAACAACAACAGCAATAATAACAAAAACAACAACAATAACAACAACAATAATAATATTCTGCAATACGGTTGACACACTTGAAAAATTCCACAGCTTCTACAAACGAACACACACATAAAAAATCTAATTATCATTATCATATTACAACATTAATCATCCTCATCATCATCATTATTTTCATCATTATTATTATTATTATCATTATTATATTGTGACATATATTGTGACAGAAACACTGCTTAACCGACTTTAAATATATTTTTTCACTCTCAAGTACCTGTTGATCAAAGAGGCATAAGAGTATCGTACGTCATATTTTACATCTCATTCATTCACACTCTGATATATGATTAATAATTTTCGGTTGATTTCATTTGGATTTTATCTTTTCGGTAAATAAAAGAATGTTCCCATTATTATTATTATTTGCCATTATTACTATTATTATTATTATTTAACTTATTGGCCGAGTAGTCGGTTGTTTGGTGAAGAATATATATAACCACACAAACAATGAGAAAAGAGAAGTAATATTTTTATTATTAAATTAAATTAAAATTTTTACGCCTATTAAATAAATCAACGAAAATTGTTGTTTTCACATTGTATTTTGTCTCTCTCTAACTACACACACACACACACACACACACACACACACACACACACACACACACACACACACACACACACACACACACACACACACACACACACTCACCCTCCCTCTTTCTCTCTCTCTCACACACACACAAACAAACACACAAACTCACATCCAGCTATTCGCACAATAATAACAACAGTAACAACAACAACAACAATGGTAATAATAATACCAATAACACCACGGTATCTTGTTCAAATAGCAAAAACCTATAATAATTAAATCAGTATTTAAAATTAAACTAGATTATATATATATATATATATATATATATATATATATATATATATATATATATCATATA